AAGTTTTAAATCCGTGACACTGCTATACAAACCGAAACGTACAAACCTGCAAATAATGCCATTTTTCTCAAGAATGGCTTTCTGTAGGCGATTTTCTCAAGGGACAATATATTTTTTAAATTAATCGATTTTTTCAATGTTGCTACCAGTTTTAAAAAAATACGACCACTCTAAAAGTTTTGACCACTAAAAGGGAGAGCTAACCGGAAAAACTATCATCCAGTAGGTATATCGATTTGACTAAAGCTTAATGATACGCCATAATAGTCCAAATAAATGTGCCAAATTTTAATGCTATCGGTAAAAGGGTTATGAAGTTATTAATTAAATTAGTATTATTTTTGACAACTTTGAAGGCCTGTTACTCAAAAACCAAAAAGTTTTTATTTAACTTTTTTTTCTTAGATCATATTTATTTATTGTCGTGAATATGCAGTCAAACGTTATCGGTTAAATTTGCGGATACCCTGTATATTTACCACTAGTCCACATTAAAGTCCACCTGTAAACCGCTTGTACATATAGAGCATTTTTTTCGGATTTAGAGAATAATATGGTGAAACTTGCTTAATATTATGTATGAAATTATATCAAAAGTTAAAAAAAAACTTGTTTCTGATGACAACATAAAACAGTATACACGATAAAAAGATTTAAAATAATTTCTTACGTAGGTATACCTACTAACTAGTTATACTTACTGTGCGAGTACCTATATACTTCTTATAATTAAATAGTAATAGCTTAATGTAAATAAGCAAATTCAGATGATGATGCAAAAAGCATGAGATTGATGGTCAGTTAATTAAAAAACAAATAACAAAACGGCAACTGCGATAACAAGAAATACACGTGATAGGTACCTTTATACAATTATTATTACATCATAATGTTCCCGTAAACTATAAATATTAAGAAGACCCACTTGAATATTAGTTACCCTCAAATTCCTCGTTACCTAGTAAAGAAATTAAGTACTAAAACTTCAAACATATAATAAGTATGTAGGGGAAATATAAATAAATAAATAAATAAATAAATAAATAAATAAATCTCTGGTCCATCAAGCTGCGTGATATAATTTAAACTGAAAACGTTGTATGAAAATCGGTATGGTGGAATAATTTTTTGATGGTTGACCCGTCATCGTCGTGGACTTTTTGACGTTTCAAGAGGTATACTGTTTTCTTCTTTAGACGAAACTTTGAAACCATTAGCTGGTATTTACATATGCTGTGCATGATTTGTAACCATTACTTGATTGACCTGACTTGATTTTCGCTTATATAGTTTCCAAGTTCCAAATAATTTATCCTTTTGCTTCAATTGAAATTATGTAGACTCTATTTCTATTGCTTCTCTTTAGAGTTTTGGTCAAAATCTTTCCTCTATCTCACCAGAATTATGGTCTATTGTCTCCTGAGTCTGTCCTGTGCTGCGATAGACCTAAATACAGAAGAACATAGATAATTTCAATGGAGACGAGGGGTTAGGTTAATAGCTTGAAATAATTCTGATCATTTTTAAAATTATACACTTTTTATTATCAGCTATACATTTCTCTATTTGAATTTTCTTGAGGTAATTTAAAATAATTCTGAAGATTCTGGTTATATTAAATTATGAATGTTCTTCGACTTGTATACTCAAAAACTTTGTTTTATTTTTAGTTCACTAATGATAGTTTTGACTAATGAAATTGTACTGAAATGTTTAAACTTATTACATCAACTATTTGCAGTTGATTCTATGCGAAAGCAAATAAATGATAAACATTGGAGACAGTCGAGGTATGTACACATTTAAAAAATAAACTTGAATGTGTGATGATGAAATAATGTTGAACAATAATAATTGTTCAGAATCGGTATTGGTAGGAGCGTAATATTTTTTAATTCCTAGAGAGACGTAGTGAATATAGCGTATTCACAAATAAGAATATAATATTACCATAATATAAAATGAAACATTTAATATGAATATTAGATTCTTTTTAGACCTGTGTGTGAATTAAAAAAAAAATCCCGGATATTCTGATATTCACAAGTGTTGAATGAATTATAGAAACAGTCTTCCAGAGATTGTAACATAAAAGTCAAAATTCATGGTCTCCCGTTACTGCAGCTTGATTTGAATTATACGTTCAATTGTCGAAAGGTCTGACAATAAATGTGTTTATTGTTTCACGTGAGGGCGACAAAAAAAAAACAGCTTTCTGATCCTATAAAACTGACTATAAATATTCCGGACACAAAACCTTAAAAATGGTTGTTTTCCTGAACAATCACCACTGTACTCAAACTTAGTATTTCTGTTGTCAGTTTGAGAACGATAGTGTTGACAACGAAAACGAGATTTTGAAACTAGAAGTAAACAATCAAATGAAATGAGTAAATCTTTGAACGCTAAGTCATGTTGCCTTTGTGTCAGTTTAGAGATAAAGATTTGGTCGTCAACATTTTTCCAATTTGCGGCCTACCAAAAAAGTCTTCTTTCAATTTTGCGTTGGACTTTTCTGGGTACTGTTTTCTCATATCCTCAACATATTTGACGTCATGGAAGCGGCACCACCTTAATTTAATATCGCTACCTATTTACATCAAAACATCTTCAGAAATTTATTAGTTTACCAAAATATTAAATTTATTCCATACTACATCAGCGCATTGTACACGAATGTTCATTGATCTAAGGTGAGTAAGAAACTGACCACCTGCTGTCTGCCTTCATTTTTATGCCAAAAAGAAAATATTTATACTAACTTGAGAGGCAGAAGAAGCCGGCACTTTTATCTCTTTATTACCCCAGGTATTTTTAAATAAATCGTAATCGGTAACACAACACAACTGTTAAAAAATGTGTTATTCTGTTTATTTTGTATCATTTGATTTTTCAAGGTCTACAGAGTTTAACAGGGATGTTGTAAGAGATTTTTAGAGCCGATTTAGCTCGTCCAAACAAATCAAGCAAGAGTAACAGTTTTTTAAAAACGATTCCTAAAGGCTCTATGAGCTTTCAAAAATTCAAAATGAAACAGTTTTCTATTGTTCAAGAACCTTTTAGGATATAGACATGAAATTTGGACAGTGGTGTTCCTCCATAGCAATTATTTTTATACTATATATTTGAGCAAATGTTAACCAACACGTTTCGGGTTTTCTGCCAAAAAAGTTACTTGATATTTGACATTATAATAGCCAGATTGGTCGTCAGATGTCTCACCTGATGAGGACAAGTCCGAAACAGATATATGTCAAGTGATTCAACTGACAAATAATCCTAACTGTCCTTTTAGCTACTGCAGTTATGTTCTGTGATGTCCTTTTATATGTATATTAACATAATTATTGTTACTTCAAATGTTGGTGTTTCATATGAGAGAACCACAGTACCAAATTTGAGATATGTGTCCTTAATTGCTCTTAAACTCTATTTCACCAGTCTTTGAAGACATATTTAGACCTTTTCCGCCTTAGGTAGAGGAGGAGGAAAGACAGCTCCAGCTAGCTTTAGAAGCTACTGCCTACCACCAACTCAATCCTAGGAGAACGCGGAGGTCACTGGATACGTCCAGCATGCCTCCAGGATGGAGTAGACCGTCAACAAGGTTTTCTTCGGTGGGAGGCTATAGTAGCCTCCTGGAGCCGCCAACCAGACCACACTCACGGCTGCCGTGCTTCATCGATGAGGATTCTCTTCCAGAAGATACAGGGTCTCTCTATGAAGATGTTTATTATAATAGGTACGTTCAAAAAACCATTTTTAAACATATTAAAACACATGTTATCATTAGAGTTAACAACGCGTAATAAACAACTGAAATACAAGTATTTAATTTAACAACTGTGTATACACTTTGACGACTATGCATGGAAGAAAATCCAAATAAAAAGTACGAATATACGAAAATCTATTTTTCAGCCATCTTAACGTGCCGAGAAGGTCTAGCAACATAACCTGCTCATCCTCGGGGAGCTCCTACTTGGAGCGGCGTGACTCAGCCGTTGCACTAGGTCTTCCCGCCCTGCCAGCGCACAAATGCAAAAATTCGAGGCGCCTGTCGTCGCCGCTACCCGAAATTTACGACTTCTACTACCCCATTGACATCAGGGTCACCCAGCCCACACCAGGGGGCTCACCTTGCGGAAGCGACCGCGCCCTATACGACCGCGTCCTGGACCCGCCGAATCTGAAGCCGAAGCTGGCCCCTCTGGCTTCCATAAGCAGCTGTAACAGCTCGCTGGGTACTGACTACCCCGACTTCGAGACCCAGTCTTACGCTAGCGACTCCGTGTTCCATGACGAAGAAGAGGAAGACACCGACAACGAGATAGAAGAGTTCTCTACCGACAGTGACGTTAACAGTGACGAGGGGGCTTGCTATGGCGGCCGGCCCAGACTTAGTGCTTCCAGCGCCACACCTACCGCTAGTGACAGACCTCCGTGTGTCGTGCCAGGATCATCAAAGTCATCTTCCACTTTGGTGGGAAGCCAGGAGAAGGAACTGTCGCAGCTGTCGTTAACTGAGAGTGTGCGCAGGATGTCCGCTTCTAGTGGTAGGCTAGATGAAAGGACCACCTGGGCCCAAGAGACTCTGTTTTAAATTATACTATTAAGAAAGGTAACTGGCAAAATTACATACTGTTATTTAAGAAAATTTCAAGTGTTTTAAGTGGATAATATGGATGATTCTTTTGGACGTTGTTAAGTTTATTTAAAGACTGAACTAATCAAAATAATTTCTTTTTCGAATAAGTTATTATCCACAAAATAACGTAACTTTACTCCAATTTAACCATATCTCAATCTGTGACTGTTTCTGAGATAAAAATATTCACATATTAAGTTTGATGCACTCTATGTGTATGTACAGCTGTGAACACAAAAAGGTTTCCCACCTAAGACGTTTAAAAGTGTTTAAAAAACGAACTTAATAGATCCCTGTTTTACAAAGGACTAAAAAACAATTTACGTTAGAAATTTTTAGTGTCTACTGCTGTACATACAAGTTTATTTGTATCCGTTGCTGTACATACAAGTTTATTTGATGAGTTTCGGGACCTTAATATTAAAAAAGATTGATTGCATGATTAACAGCAATAAGTAATATTTTTTACAACTTCAGCGATGTAAAAATAGCAATAGATCACAAGTGCTTAAATTGAGAGGTAAAGCATTTGAGTAGTTTCTATCTATAGACTATCTAAATTTAAATTCTTTTATTACGACAATTACCCGTTTACTACTTGTTTGTTTTGACTAACTCGAAGAGAAATAGCTAAAGCTTGATTGTTTAAATAAAAAAACATATTATTTTTTCCGAAACAATTCGTTATGTTTGTTATAGAATTGAACGTTTTTCTGAAGGGCAAAACTTGTTTAAGTCATTTTGAAAACATTTTTCTCGAAATATCGGCATCAATCTTAATTTTTAAAAACAATTGACTATCAAGTTTTTATGATTGTTTTATTTTCAATTGTTTTATTTCTAAACGAACCTTACAAACCTGTTAACAATTGATAACAGTTGGTTAAACATGGTATACAAATATTTAACTATAAGTTTAATTCACCAGATACATACAATTATCGATATTTGCAATTATTATTCTAAGAATTGTTGAGGTATTTGTTGTTTTTCTTTAAACTGTAGTTTTTAATGTTGGTAAGTTCTGATAAATTTGAATTAGTACCTATCAAATAGCGAATGAAACTTGCAATCAAATACGTGTATATTATTCCTATGATTAAAAAAACCTTTTCAAATATCAAACCAATGAGTGTAATCAAAAAATATTTTGCCAGTTACCTGTTCTGTAATCGATGTCTGTTATTGTATATTGTTATACATATATACACTACTAACAAGCCATTTCAACATCATCTCTATTAAGGCTCATAAAATGTGTTTTTATTTATAAATATTTATGCTATTAAATAGTTTAATAATAATTATTACATCAGTATTACTTACAGATTTGATATGTCTAAAATGGCGAGGGATCAGGAAAACGTGGTTTAATTATCCACTATCGAATTATTTTGGTCAAACTAAAATGAAAATAATTAATAAATCAAATTTTCAATAAATCTTTATGTTTAAGTTTATGTGAACAAGACATATCTGTGTCTTTTTTGTTTATAATATTTTAGTACCCCTTACCTATTATCTATCGTTACTTAAAATACTGTAAAAATGCCAAGGGTTTTTTTAACGTTTTATTCAGTTTTTTCTTTGTCAGAATTTAAAAGATTTTTTTTGTAAACGTTTATATCATTGGGAAGATGAATATTGAATCATTATCATATGAAAACACAGACATATGTTCAAGATATGAAACGCATTCATAGCTATTAACAATATGTCTGTTAATCTAAATATAACAATGTGATTAAATGATAATCTGTAAATAATTGATAAAACCTTTCATCGATTCATCATAAAGAATATTTTCCCATTCTACATCTGTCTCACCTATATGTGATATGTTATAATTACTTTATGAGACATAATTTTTATATCAAAACAGTTGACTTTATTAGTAACTAGGTCATTGTCGAAATAGGCAGATAAATATAAATGAAAAGTAAATACTGAAAATGTTATTTTGTTATAGATTTTCTATAAACTATTGTAGTTTTCTAATTATAATATCAGTCATTCTGTTCTGTTTATGGATTATGATTAATAGCCATAGGAAGTTTTGTATTCAGGACAGTTTCAGGTTGTTTCATGTTTAATGGTATAGAGTAGATTAATCTGTGTATAATATGTCTTGTACAGGAAAGATTGTATAGAACAAGTTATACTGCGTTACAGTTCTTTTATCGTTGTGGTAAACATACAATAAATGTATTAATTGTTTATCCTTTGTTTCAGTTTATATTCCAGAGAGTGGTGTCCCCATGTTTGGTTCAAAATTTTGGTAATGGATGGAGTATGAAAAGATAATAGCGGTGAAAAGTAGTATTTTGTAGATATACTTATAACATAAAAATTTATTCCAAGAAAACAAATATTTCTACCATTTAAAGTTCAACAAAGTTCTGTAAATAAAAATCAAAGTGGGAGGTATAAAATATTTATTTATAAAATATAAAAAATGTTAATAAATACTCATACTCAACAAAGTGATACTTACAAGGGACCTGCGTTTAGGATTAATATAAGCTAAAATGTATAAAACACATAAACATTTGAAACGTAAACTATAAAAATATTAACAATTATTGGCAAGCGGCTGACTGTTTCAGATTATATCAAAATAATAAGTATGTTATTGCTCATAATGAGTACAGAGGGCTGTATCTAAGAACGAATGCAACCAACCAGTGAAAATTACTAAAAATTATTGTTAGAAAGGGCAGATCTAATTTGTTTTCTCAAAAAATTGTTGTGTATTTGAGCAGATAAAATTATTTGCGCTCCAACTGATCCTGAATGAAAATATCTGCGATCGCCCTGAGGATGGCCAGGCGAAACGCAGTCGAGTCGAGGTCGTTTCTTCGGCTGGTGTTTAGTAGTGATCGGAGAATGGGGAGTGTCTGATTCCGAAGCTGTGTGCTGGTGTTATATCTAGAACAACCTAAAAACAATTATTAAAGTTAGAAATTTTTTAACAATTTGGAAAAAAGGGGTGGAATTCCTGAAATCTTGATGAAACCAGATATCAATTAAGGTAACATAATCTAAGGTAACATAATTTGTAAAGAAGGTAACATTAATCAGTTAGATTTTCATGAAAACCAAGGATGTATCTATTAACGACTCAAAACTACTCCATAAACTCTTTGGCCTCAGGTTCGTCTCAAAAATCGAAGATTTTGCCACACACAATATCTACAGTATGTCATTATTATGAAACCTATTTTCGTCATTTCACATTTTCTACCTTATTTACATAAAAATAATCGTTAAATGACCTGTGAAATGTAACGAGAAACAATGTGAATGTACAAAAAATATAATAGTTTACATCGTGCTTTATTCTTCTTTTTTTTTGAAATATCAAAGTTCTGAGTATTACTTGCGGTTAAAATGTATGTTGTATTCTATCCGCAACCTCAGTTTTCTATGCAATGTAACTAGTCCACAAGCATAGGCATTTAATTGAATTTCTATTAATTTCGTAAAATTGCTCCTGTCTGTAAACTTGTATAGGACCATTTCGCGACTTTTTGTTTCGGCAAGTTGAATTTATCACTATACGATGCTAAATGTAGAATAACATTGAAAAACAACGGAGTTACAGACTGTCAAATATATTATTTTCAAGCGAATTTCGCTGTTTTAATGACAGGACTATAAGTATTATCATCATTTTCTTCGGACTCGCTGTCGTTCGTTCCCCTCACCCTTCCACCGTGCCAGGGCTCGCCCAAAAATCAAGCGACCCACTGACTTTTGACAATATTTATTATACACTTAACATACTTCCACAAATAAAATATTTTTATGTGGGAAAGTACTCGGGTTGCCGGTTATGACAGTATTTTTTTTGCCGCTACCAACCTAATTTGTTTAAGAATAGTCCGTCAACTTTGACGGTCTGTAACTCCGTTGTTTTTCAACGAATCTTGACGATTTTTTTTTTAACTAAAGATCTTTTCATAAGCTTTCCGAATATGTAATAATATATAACTATATCACGCGCGTGGGTCGTATATTTCATTTTGCAACTAAGACTAAAAAATAAAAAAAAATTCCAGGTTGCAAATTTGAAATTAAAAAGAAATGATAGATTTCAATGTACTATTATGAAATCTACCATGAAAAAAATCAGTGCGATTTTGGAAGATGCTCGGGATCGTCCAGACTAATAATTAGTTAATTTGTTTATAAGGCCATAACTTGTAAACTATTCAACTTACCGATTCCAGATTTCGTGTGCGTTAGTAGACAGTGATAAGGAATGAGAGGATGCGATGCCAAAACGTTCTGGTAATAATAACGCAGTTTATGAATGTTTAAATCAAAAGTCATAAATAAATTTCTTCTGTTTATAACTTTTGATCTAATCAATATTTTTTGACGCTCGAGGTCTAGTGTTGTAGGTCTTTTAAAGACGAAAAAAAAGTACATTACTATTTTCTCGTGGAAATGAACGAAAAAAAATTTATAAGCGAAAAACGTGACTACGTAAAAATTATACAATTAACCAGCCTGTAAACTAATATGTTATTGTACATAATATTTAGCAACCATAGTGATAAATTCAGCTTGCCGAAACAAAAAGTCGCGTCCAACTCTATATGTATTGTTCGGATCAACAATGCATCAATCTTAATTTTCTTTTATTACTACTCTTTACTGTATTGTGTTTACAATAGGTGCATCTAAAGCAAACCGCCCACCAAATGTGACCAAACAATGTAACAAACAGTGTGCATTTTCCAATTAAATAAACATAAACATACGAGTCACTAAGATGGGTCACCTCTGTGGACGACACTTTATGAACAAATTTACGAGGTCATAATTGTCGAATAAATCAGGTAGGTTGTGCTTTATAACAGTGATTTGTACAAAATAAACCTGGTGCAATTGAGTGCGGTGTGGTACTCTCTACACCCAAAGCGTTTCAAAATACCTGTTTTACATATTCCAACAACAGCAGCAAGTTAACGTCTTTTAGTAGGCATAAATATACGTTAAAATAAGAGAGACGTCCTTTCTCTTCTCAAAAATGTGTTTAGCGAACCCAAATATGCAGAATGCCTGATTCCAAAGGAGTGACTTGGGGCGTGCCTTAGATGTGAGATTACCTAAAGCAATGGCTAGATGTTACATTTTGTTTTGGATGTTGTTGAAATGATTTAAAGTATAAGAAAACACATTAAGTAACTCCTCGTCGCCCAAGTTATGCGTAAGTAAGTTCTCAGTTGTATCTACAGACATAATACCTTCTCCATATCTCCTTGATTTAAATTTCCTTTTATGTCTTGCTCAGCAATCTATCACGTTTAAATTAATTTTCGAATTCGATTACATATTTAGTTTAAAAATATACTCACTTTTTCTGGTGAATATACCCCAGGTCCAGGAATATTTTCATCCCTGGGAAGATTTGTTCTTCCACTGATAGTATAAGCCGGAGAATGGGTTTTGTAATTTTCAGGATCTACATTGTTGTATTGTCCAGGAGCGGGATTCTTCACGCGCTCATCGATTGGCTCCTTGGTCCTTCCAGATATTGTGTAGGCAGGCGTCGATTTGTCTCCCACAGCAGATGGAATAGTGTAAACGTTCGGTGCTAGGAAATTGAAAGGTTTGTTAATATTTTTAAATTAGATTCAGGTAAAATAACCGCCACCAGAAATGAGAGGTTAATACTGAAAGAGCAGTAGTGATTCAACCGATGTTCCATATTTATTCCAAAATAATAGTATTTATCAGAACAAGATAAAAAACTTTATATACCTATCACATATGTCTTTGAATATGAAGGTCTAATACTTGATCTTAGTTTTGCTGCTGAGAATTTGAATAATTTAGTACATGAACACTATTGGAATGTATCTGAATATAAAGGATTTCAAAATATAGAGCAGTGACATTTATAAATTAAGCAGCACGTGGTTATTAAATTAGCTAGTTTAATGACATATTATTTTAGGACAAAAGACTACGACCACAAATTCACTTTTCATATATGGCTTCTAAACTGGTTCGACTAATAGCTAAAGTTGTGATGAGTTGGTGGCATAGGTACGTCCTACATGAAACATTATAATAGACAGAGCATATTAAAAGTCATACACTTTCAAAATTTGGCCATGTCAACCTTCGTCTAATATTCATGAATTACATAACGCTTTAAAACACTGTATAATGAATGACAGAAGGTAGTTGTTGCCTATTTGAAAAAGTCGACAAGGTCGCGAGAGGAAAGTTATTAGCTATTGTATGTTGGGTCACTGAATGTATCAATACTTTTTGATAAGGGGGCACATGACACCATGTGCTGAAAGAAATAAATTGTTAACAGATTACAAGCAATGTATCTTGGCACCTGGCTTTCATATTTGGTAGATTCAGTGACAAAATTGTACATTTAAATGTCCCAAACCATTTTAAAATTAATTTGTTAAATTAATAAGGTTTGAAGGAACCAACCAGGGGTGTCCAAAGGTTTCTCCGCCTGAACTTTGTTTCCAAAACTGTATTTCGGAGAATTCTCATGCAAAACCTTGTCAGAAGTTGGCACATTGTATACGTTTGGTGCTATAGAATGTAAAATGTGTAAAGTTTGTGTATACATATACAAGGAATGTGTTTCTGTTTAAGAAACCGATAATTGTTGTTTAGAATTAATTGTAATTAGTTCTAAATAAAGTCTTAAACAAAAGTAGATGTTTCTTCTACGAAATATTCGGAAAGTTGAAATAAATTTATAAAATGAAAACTGTTACAGTGTGAAAATTTAAAATTTATTGTTGACATATTGAGGTGTTACGAATATTTTTAATTTCTAATTACTAATATTTTATTTAGTTACTAATTCAAACTAACTTGTTTTTACAAATTGATTTCAAATGAAACTATAGCAAATAATAGCATCTGAAAATCCAGAAAGCAAGAAAATTATTTTATGGACCAAATATTTCTATAACAATTTTTTCAGTTCTGAAATATGGAAAATCATTCTTTCAACGTTTATTATCTTCCTATCACCAACATGCAATAATATAAAAATGTTTCTTAAATAGATGTAAAACATTATTTTATTGTTTTATAGGTTTTTTGGCAGTTGTGATTGATTGAACACGTAGTCACGGTTTAAACGTTTGACCCCTCGAGAGACAGACAAAGAATAGTGGAAACTACAAAAAAATTAAAATTTCTGGTTAGGTATATCACATTTTTGGTGACAGAAAGAATAATTAATTATTAACTAAATAATAACAGAAAGTACAAGGCGGTTAAATTAAGCATAATGTGTTAAGTATTAATATAAAAAAGTAAAAAAAATGAGTTTTAATTATAAATCCTTTAAAAGATATCTAATACTTGTCTTTTTTATTTGGACTACTTACTTACATTTGACATTGTACGTTTAAAATAAGTACACAAATTTAACGATTTCTCAGAAAGATATTCGTGTTCAGACGTTTATTTGTAAGTATAACGCTATAAAGATTAAAGAATGAGAGCACAGGAATCAATAACTAACCGGGAGTATCTGAAGGCTTTTCAGGATTTGTCTTAACCCCGAAACTGAATTTTGGAGACTGTTCGTGTAACACCTTTTCCGTTTGAGGTATATTGTATACGTTGGGCGCTAGAATTAAAGTATACAGAATATAGCCACACGCGGATCAATATATAATTTGAAATACAACTTATATGCGCGCCTCCAGAATTTAAAGTGATAAACTTTAAGTTACGATTGGAGAAAACTTAAGAACAAAAAAAACTAACCCGGGGTCTCTGAAGGTTTTTCATGGTTTGTCTTAACCCCAAAACTGTATTTGGGGGACTGGTCGTGTAACACTTTTTCCGTTTCAGGTATATTGTACACGTTGGGAGCTAGAAATAAAGAAAACAGAATATAGCCGGATACTGACCGAAATATTATAAAACTGATATGTTTACAAATATTATTGGCGTTTAGTATTTAAAATGGTGGATTAGAATAGAAGAAGAAAGAACGTAGAAAAATGAGATGAACAACTAACCCGGGGTGTCTGAAGGTTTTTCATAGTTTGTCTTGACCCCAAAACTATATTTGGGGGACTGATCGTGTAACACTTTTTCCGTTTCAGTTATATTGTATACGTTGGGAGCTAGAAATAAAGTAAACAGAATGTAGCCGGATACTGACCGAAATATTATAAAACTGATATGTTTACAAATATTATTGGCGTTTAGTATTTAAAATGGTAGATTAGAATAGAAGAAAGAACGTAGAAAAATGAGATAATCAACTAACCCGGGGTCTCTGAAGGTTTTTCATAGTTTGTCTTGACCCCAAAACTGTATTTGGGGGACTGATCGTGTAACACTTTTTCCGTTTCAGTTATATTGTATACGTTGGGAGCTAGAAATAAAGTAAACAGAATGTAGCCGGATACTGACCGAAATATTATAAAACTGATATGTTTACAAATATTATTGGCGTTTAGTATTTAAAATGGTAGATTAGAATAGAAGAAAGAACGTAGAAAAATGAGATAATCAACTAACCCGGGGTCTCTGAAGGTTTTTCATAGTTTGTCTTGACCCCAAAACTGTATTTGGGGGACTGATCGTGTAACACTTTTTCCGTTTCAGTTATATTGTATACGTTGGGAGCTAGAAATAAAGTAAACAGAATGTAGCCGGATACTGACCGAAATATTATAAAACTGATATGTTTACAAATATTATTGGCGTTTAGTATTTAAAATGGTAGATTAGAATAGAAGAAAGATCGTAGAAAAATGAGATGAACAACTAACCCGGGGTGTCTGATGGTTTTTCATGGTTTGTCTTGACCCCAAAACTGTATTTGGGGGACTGATCGTGTAACACTTTTTCCGTTTCAGGTATATTGTACACGTTGGGAGCTAGAAATAAAGTAAACAGAATGTAGCCCGATATTGACCTAAATATTATAAAATTCATGTGTTTACAAATATTATTGGCGTTTAGTATTTAAAATAGTGGATTAAAATAGAAGAAATGTAAAGAACTAAGAAAAATAAGTAAACAACTAACCCGGGGTCTCTGAAGGTTTTTCATGATTTGTCTTAACCCCAAAACTGTATTTGGGGGACTGGTCGTGTAACACTTTTTCCGTTTGTGGTATATTGTATTCATTGGGAGCTAGAATCAAAATAAACAAATGTGGTCTCGCGCATAAGTAGCCGACACAGAGAAAGTGCATGTAGGGAACCCTATTTTAAAGTACCTTACTTCTATACCAAGTCGCTTGTTTAGCAGTTAGGGGTTGTCAAAGTCTATAAAATCAATCGAAAATTCGATTGATTTTATAGACTAAATATACTGGTCAGTGAGGAGCAGATAATTGTAATCGATTTTTTCATAAAATTATTGAAAATAATCAGATAAGAGTGCGCTATTAATTTTTATATCAAAACAAACGTGTATGAAAAAAATCGAATAATTTTTAGTAGTAATAAACATTTTTATATTTTAAGGTATACACTATTGTTTTATAATTTTGTTATTTCAAAAAACGTCGAGTTATGTACGTGTTGCAGCAGACTGCATATTAATCTATTTTTCTTAATTAACAATTTTGTTGTTTATAACAGTAAGTTAACAAAATTAATTGAAAAATGTTGAATGAAAAAAATAAAATAAACAGTGTACCTGAACATAAATATTCTTTACTTTTTGCAGTTGCAGTTAAGTGCACAGTTTCAATCATTCAATGTGCATTTCAACGCCAATGCAGCCAACTTAAATTTCTAGCATGTAAGTAGCATGCTTTCCATACCATAATTTTAGATAGCATATTTGCGTAGTAACGCGTCGAAATACTAGCAATTTCGTTTAAAATAGACAAAGCATTTTAGTTATTTGGAAATTATAAAATTTTTCCATTTCCACACTCTCTAACAGCTAAACGAAGCAATTTGGTATATAGATTGGTCCACGATTTATTCGAAAAAAAAAATAGGAATTTGTAGTGTCAAAATTGGGTAGATTTTTTCTGCTTCTTACAGAAAACAAGGCGTTAAAACACACAACATATTTTAAATACTGATACAGAATAGCTGTGTCGGTTTCTATGCCGAACACCCACCATTTCAAGTTATACTGATGTTTATGAGACTGTAAATCGTTATTCATGTTTAAAAATTGAAAAAATATATATTTAAGGTTAGAAAAATATTTATGGTTAAAGAAAGTTAAAAACAAAATAAATTAAATTGAGAAAACTAACCCGGAGTGTCTGAAGGTTTTTCGTGGTTTGTTTTAACCCCAAAACTGTATTTGGGAGCCTGATCGTGTAACACTTTTTCGGATTGGGGTATATTATATACATTAGGTGCTAAAATAAAGCAAATGAAGTAGAAAAGAGAAAAAAGAAGCAGAGGTGTAGCAAAATAAAATAAAAACTAACCCGGTGTATCTGTAGGTTTAATTATTGGCGTCCTACGTCCAAAGGAATATCGATGGCTGCCGGAACGTCGAAATGGTTTATAAGCGTTAGGAGCTGTGTTAACATTATTAATTTTACTTTACACCACTGTTAATCTACTAAAAATTAGTCATTTTTATTGCTACAATACTATTTTATGATTTATTATATGCTCACACCACTAAAATATTCATATAAAATGTATGTTTTTATTATAACTTTTTTGATTGCTCAAAAAAGTTACAGGAAATCTTACAGTATTTTGTTTAAATAAAACTGCTCGCGTGACATTTTCATAAGTACATTAAACAATGCAATAAATAAAATAATGGAAAAAAAATTTATTGGAAAATGTTCTTCATGTAAAAAATTTGTCCAATCTTAAGGGCTCTTAAATGATGACTTTAGTTTTTTTGTAACAACCAACTTTGTATCTTTTACCGTTTTCGAGATATCCATCTCGAACCTTAAATTCATTTTATGTGAATATTTTAGTTATTTTCATATAAACTTCAAGTGTTTAGTTATTAAGTCTACAATCTACCATTAATCATTATTTTTTAATTTTAAAATTTGTTTGTTCAAAACTTTGTTTCTGTATGTCAAAAAAAATGAACATGAACGTAATATTTCAAAGGTGGCAAAACTGTAACATCCATTTTTTTCTCAACATTAAAATGACTCATTCCCAGAACACTTTGTAATGAATATGGACCAATTTGGAAATTTTTCAGTTTTTAATTAATTAAGGTGGACAGAAACAAGATTTAGAGCTATTCAAAACCATATCCTCAATTTTGCTGATTGAACAAACAAAATTCTTATAAATATTAATATATATCTAACACATAATATAAATTACAACTTTGTTATTTATATTTAACATTTTATACTTATAAATACCTAAATATATGCTGTTTGGAAAATTGTGTTCTTATATTTAATTACAAATTTTTTAAAATTATAATAGACATATTGAAATATTTACCTGGTGTGTCCACTGGTTTCTCTAAGTTTGTTTTTAGCCCAAACGTAAATTTGGGTGCGTTGTCATGGATGACCTTTTCTGCCTTGTCCGGGTCATAGTCCCCAGGCGCAGGGAAGTTTTCTGGTTTTGGCTCCTTTGGCCTGCCGTGAAGGCTCAAAGCAGGAGGATTATCCTTCCCTATAAGCCAATATTAATTTTTAAATAGGTAATATTAAGCAATAATTGTTGAATTCACTTGCAGTGAGATTTAATAATACTTTTTAACGATTTTCGGATTTTTTTGTTTTTCATAAACAAATCGATAATGAGAATTTCGTCTTTATTTTTTTGAGACACCTCAACTACATTTAGTCTATCTCTTTAGGAAATATTATGAAACCTGCTAAAAGTTGGCCCTGTAGAATAAAATTTCTTTCGGAAAATAGGTTTCCTCTTGTTTTATACTATTTAGGAAAATATATAATTCTGCTTTAAAGACACGTATTCATTGTTTTGAAATGGCAATCATGAATATCGATTAAGCATTAATTCTCCAGTTTCATTGTCTGCTTTCCATTACTTTTCAGATAAATGGCTTATTACATAAATACCAGTATTTAATTATACGGCTTATCCGTAACTCATTTTACAGGAGCAGTTTGTTTAGAACATACATAAAAGCTATGAGTGGACAGTTTCCGCTGTATCAGTTTCTTCAAAGTGTGTCCAAATGGTGGGGACAAAACATCTTTTCTGCGATAGAGAGAGGGAAATGTGAGAAGTTTTATGTTTTCTTCTTTGTCATAACTATCACAACGATTTATTTACTAACAGTGTTATGGAGAATGAAATTGACTATGAATTTTATTACAACTTTATACAACCTAATATATCTGATACTGTTCCTAAGCAATTTATCTTCGCTATACTGTTTTAATTATTCACAAAGAATGAATCTATGTAAACTGTTTAAAAATATAGCTATTCTCTATAGAGATTTAACCAAGCAATTTTCAGGATTTAAAATGGAAGAGGAAAGGCAGTTTAACAGATATTTCATTGGAATTCATATTCTCTTCTTATTTTACTCCATCTTCCAATGCTTAACTTATTTTAATCTGAATTTTCCTTTGTATAAAGTAACTCCACTGATAATTTTTAGTTACTTGGTTGTACTAACAGTTCTGCAATATGCATGTGTTATATTTATTATAAAAAATGTGCTGGATGCTCTGAATAAACAAATATATACATTTAGAACCATTACATCTAACTTACAAAACCATAATAATATTGCAATTAATGTGAAGTTCTTGTTAAAATCTTTCGACAAAGTCTTTGAAATAGCAAATGAAGTGAATAAAATATTTGGAGTTGTTCTTTTAGGAGTATATCTTATTCTATTAGCTAGTTTGATAAAAGATATTGCGATGAGTGTACTCTATGGAATTTTTAAATGGCATGGATCTGAAGCATTTTCCATGGGACATATGATTAGCTGTCTACTGTGGTTGGTAAGTACATAAGCATTGTGATACGTTTGGCTGTTTGGTCAGTGAAAAAGCAGTAGCAGTAGCAGTATGTGGTTGGTAAGTACATAAGCATTGTGATACGTTTGGCTGTTTGGTCAGTGAAAAGAGTTTTGATTTCTTTGTTTATTAACTGTATATTACGCGCATAATGTCAAAAAAATGTTGCTAACGGGGTGTAAACTATTTCTTGTTTAATGAAGGACAGGGTGCTCTTATTTTCGATTTTTTTTTTTTGATGTTCTGTTGGCCAAAAATGTGTTTGTTTCTGTAGAATCTAGCAGTAAAGATGGCAAGCTTTTGCAAAGAATTTTCGTAATTGATGACGTTTTTTATAAGGCAAATAAAATTCAGAAATTCAGAGAAAACTTCAGTTTACATTGTTTTTATTTTTGCCAAATTTCTAACCTACCATATTCCGGTGAACATGGAGCAAATAAGCCGAAATTACACGATAGCTGCACATCGTTATACAAGGTGTATGAAAGAGAGTGGGTCAGCCATATTTCAAAGGTAGCTTAATCAAATGAAAATAAAACGATTTAGTCAGGTTGGTAAAATTTTGCTTTCCTAAAAGTTAAAGATCTTCAAGACATTATTTTTATTCCAATTGTTTTGAGACAACTTTTAATTTCTTAGACACTTCAATGAAAAAAGGTTTTTAGGTTAGATTTATATCCCATTTAAAATATGGAGGTAGCTAAGATTAGTTCAAAAAGTTATTTGTTTAAAAAAAAATGAATATTTTTTGTAGGTATTGGTTCATCTATTGTCAGCAGCGTGTGCAAAAGCCAAATACTCCCTCCGAGAAAGTTCTCTTTTAGTGTACGAAGTGATTATTCACACACCTGTTTACCAGGAACATGGAGAGGAAGATGATTCTCGAGATGATTTAATTTTGCTATCATATTCTTTAATGAATCGATCGTTTGCATTTACAGTTTGTGGATTCTATGAAATCGATTACAGCCTTATGTTTGCTATGATGGGATCCATAGCGTATTATGTTGTGATTTTAATTCAGTTACAATAGTAATTTCTTCTAAGTGTTACGTCAGCTCCAGATTATGCGATCACTCGCTATTCGTAAAACATAAATGTGACACACATTTGCTGATTATTTGCCCAAAACACTCTTGTAGATGTGAAATATAAGCACGTGAGAAATATGTTTTAAAATATTCCTAACCCTTTGACACACGATATGTAGGTATATTTATCAACTGTCTGTATCACTCGTTTGAAGTGCTGACAGAAATGTTGGTACATTAATAAAAAAGTTTTACAAAACTGCATATTCTTCTGTTATCTGTGTACAGTTAATTATTGTCTATATATAAAGCATAACTATTACCTATTTGTTTTTAATTTAATGGGACTTGTCTTATTTGGTGTTTAGCACTGGCGATATTTAGTCATGATTTTTTAGTATGGTATAATTAAGGTCAACATATGGAAACTTGAATTAGCAACAGGTCAGGCTTTTATCCTTGCAGTTATATAAGGTCGAGATGTGCCAACAACTTACAGGGGTGTATCCATTTCAGTGTTAATTCCGGCGTCAAGATAAGAAAGGATAAAAAAGATATGTTAAAGACATAGACTTTGGTTGAGTAAAAGATGTTTGTAGTAGTTGTCTTCTCATTCAATTTGAAGTGAAACTAATCAGTGGCATCGCAGTTAAGGAGAGTCCAAGGAGTTTCAACTATTACAAATGTCTGCAATGTCTGACTTCTGTGACGTCAAATAGTTATATAATCTATATCTTTAATGGTTCTTGGTAGCTAATCTAAACTACTACTAAACTAAATCTCTGAACATCGCTCGTGATCAAAGCCATGTTAAAGACGAGAATTGGCTTAAAACCATCTAGATGTTACTGCAGCACTTGACGTTAATGTTAAAAATTCCACATATTTTATAATAATCTACATATTTCTAATTATTTTATTTGTGATTTTGTTAAACCTCAACAGTCGTAACAAAACATGGGAACATAGAGCGTCATCGAAACACCAACAAGGAACTAATCAACATGATGATATGAAACAATATATAGTGTCATTAACTTGAAATATTTAATCTATAATGTTTTTAGATCATAAAGATGTCAAAGTCAACAAGAGTATGTATTTTGTCATAATATGGTCAACCATTAATTTTTGCTTCCTACAAATAATACAAGAATTAAAGAAAAATACACCGAATGTTTCATTTCATGGCATTTTGCCTTTCGTTCTCATATTGCATGAAGTGGACGAGCTGGTTGTAATTCCCTTTCAAATATGGTATTCTTTCAATTCATATATAAATAAATAAAACTAAATCCGCGAGTAGGTACATAAAGATGTTGTAAATATCGTAAAAGGACAATTTAGATTTTTTTATAACTGTGTTAGTATCAGAACATAGACAAGCAAATGGGAATCTGGAAAATTTATCAGTAATAGTCAGAAGATAATTGTTTTGAGTGGCCGAAGGCAAAGATCCTTTGAATTCTCTCAACTGACCAAATAGCTTTTATTAAAATAAGGTTTCATTTTAGGACAAACCGGGTAAGTAGCTGTCTTTTTCTTTATTTCAACTAAGGAATATGGTAAATTTTTATTTTTTATCGAGTGAGACATTCTACTAACTCCTGATTAGATTCAAAAGATCACGTTCAGTGTGAATATTGCAATAGACACGTGATTAAGTATCAGTAGCTATATTTTCCTTTCTTGGCCTCTAAAAATTAGCAAATTTTCAATAATGTTGATAACTGACAGTATAATTACAATAATTCTTAAAAATGCTCTTGGTCAAATAGACACCCTATTATGCAAAAATGTGTAGGAAATATTTTTTGAAACGTTGACAGTTTGTAGATTTCGAGGTAGCAGTTTGTGAAATATTATTGTGTACCACCATAACACCAGGCGACTTAGGAAGGTTATTTGGCGCCATATGTTCGCTCTTAAACGACTTACCTTTTGCACTGAGTCCGGTGACATTGTATTGTCCGGGACCGGGCCCGATGCTCTCGAGCTTGCCGTTGTGGCGGGCTCCAAAGCTGAAGGCTGGCGCTCGCCCACTTTTGGATTCCGACGTCTTTTTGCCTAAGGACAGATAATGCCGAAATGAGAAAAATCTAGAACACGTGGTCGGCTGTTTAATTATAACGTTTACAGATAAGGAAACTTGCAACCGCGAGGTCTGCGAAGGCAGAGGCGTAACGTGATAGCAGTGGAACTATATAAATTATATTTTAGATTATGTTCTAAAGTAAGAGGCTCATTTTTAAAAAGTGTTCTGGATCTTGAAAATTTAAAATTATTTCCTTTTTTTAAAGTTGTATCAAACAAATTCATTACATACTTTGAGCACAAAAAAATACACAAAGGGACATGAGTTACTCCAGATTGGAATACGGTCAACCAAATTGACAATGTGATTGATTCAAGACATTTCAGCTACATCTTGGACGTATGTGATGATGCGGAGAAAATATTGACTCAATGCAAAAAAGGGAAAAGGAATCAGATAAGAGAAATTTAACCTGGAGGCACTCAGAGACCCTTTCATAAGTAGAAAATTTAGGAAGAGCCTGAAACAAGGATAGAAGACCAAATGGATATCACTTGTGAAGATACTGATGAATACTGAGGAAAATGTAGAAACGTACAGGAGGAGGTGGCAACAGAAGTAATCGGAAAACGAAAATAAAAGCAAAGAGGAGGAGTGTACGCAAGCAAGTAGAGAAGAAATGAGACATAAAGACGAAGAACAAGACAAGTATATATTCACATAACATTCTACTCAATTTGTTTTGTTGGTCCTTCCATCTAGAAATAAAATGGTTAAGATTGAAGTTTTAGTAAAGTTCTCGGGAAATATGAAATTCTCCAAAAGTGCCTAAATTGAACCCACCCAATACATGAGCATAATATAATGCACCTACATACTTAAATAATGCCTACTAAGAGTTAAAAGAGTTCTGAATAATAAAACTACTTAATTATGAAGAATAAAAAAAATGTTACTGGTATTCTTCTCACACCATAGAAAAATAATTCAGTTGCTTACCTATGTATGATGGTAAGGCTACGCAGGCAGGTCCTGGTCCTCTAAATTCTGCCGCGATGGGTCCGCGCCTTTTGGTTGGAGTCCATGGACGTTGTGTCATTCCACCCATGATCTGGATCAACAAATACAAAATTAACAACTATTTCAGTCAGAGAAATCGATATTAAAAGTGATAATTCACATTGAGCTTTCAAGGATTATCAAAAAAATTAAGATGAGAGAATTCCTCAAGTGTATTAGTTAAGCACATTCTGAAATTTTTTATTTTTTTTTATAATATTCATACCTTTTCTTAACGCACATTACTTTAAGTGAATAAACGTACTTAGTTGCTAAAGCGTTTGTAATTTTATTTGTTTTTGTGTCCTATTTTTTGTTACTGCTTTTCTGTTCAAATTAAAATGAACAAAAGTTATTAAATAATAAATATATTGTATAAATTAATTTTTACGGATCATTTGCCAACAATTCCAGTGAAGAATATCGAAACAAATGCTGTAAATTTAAATCTACGAGTTTTACCTCGGAAATTCCATCAGCGATAACAATATAGTTCTAAGATTGCACGCGTTGAAACTCCTACCTATTTTGTAGAGTAATAAGCCAGTTGGTTTATATTTATCGTCGAGACAATGATGTCACACTACTTGTATGTTGACCTGACTCTACCCGATTACCTTATATGTCAGTTAAATATTAATAACTTAGAGAATAAAAAATGTTTCTAAGAATCGGTTGTAGTTTTTATCAAATTGGTAAAGATATACCTAGAAATTGCAAGTTTTGTAAATATAACTAATATATATCTCGATACTTCAGGTTATATATATATTAGTACCTACCCTCCATCTACTCGTATGGTTATATATTTTCGATTAGCGATTTTCACGCTCTTTATACTGTTGTTGTATCATTATACATATTTGTAAATTTTTACTCATGTAAGGAACTAGTGAAGGTATGCATAGAGCAAACAGAAGAAAATAGTGATATTCTTGTGATTTAGCTCTCATTCACAGAAACTCACAAGGAAAGGTCTTTCACAATTTTTAGTGTTGGTTTTGGCATTAGTGCTGTATTGAAAATTTCTAAATTTGCATCCGCAGGAAACAACCACCAATCGACTGTTTCACAGCTTCCATTTCGCAAATCAGCAGCTACTTGATTAGCAGATTATGTAACAGACATCAATATCTTGAAGCGTTTTGTCTGTACTTGATTTAAGGTTACTGCTAACGCTACCGCTTCTACTGCTTGTTCGACATTTACAGTAGCAAATATTATCAGAAAGATGTTTCAGAAAGAAAATGAGGCCCCTTGTTAGTTGTGGTAGTGGAATTTAATTTCACAATGCAATTCTTCATTCTTGATGATTCTTGAAATACTAATAAATAGTCAACTGTTTAATGTTGTCTCCATTATTTAAATTATAATTATTGTATTGTACTATAGTAACTAGAAAAAGTTAGTTGATTGAAATTTGATTTTAGTCACCAAAACCCAGCAATGTTTAATGTCTGTAGATATGTAATATTTTTTATTTAATTAATTGTGCTTTGCTAGGTTTTTTAATGTGATATAAAATCATTAGTAAATTCATTTTAATGTAACGGATGTGACACCATCATAATCATATATGCTTTAATGGTTTTGGCCTTAAAACTTGACAGTATTAGCCAGATTTCTAATACTCATATGTGTACTTATAAACTAAGGCAGCTTAATAAAGTTAGTATTTTGTGGGATTACGCCTACAGATTTAGCTATTTCTGTCCCAAGTCGAACCGGAAATTTCTTGTATGTGATTGCATCCAATGGTTTGTATGGAGGTTATAGATGATAATTTTTAAACAAATAATGAATAAGTAAATGGTTACAAGTTATATTAAATTTTTTAAACCATGCATTTTTCATTTTTTACTTTAAAAATATTACGCTATTTCAAATTTATTCTACAAGTTCTCTACAAAGAAATATATACATATGTTACGGGTAATATGTTTAGTAGACTTGGCAAAAGTGTACACAACATGAACTTTTTTCTCCTTTAGGAATGAGATTTATGAACAAAAGCTATGGGTTCATCTCTTTCTGAAGCTGTAGAAGAAACTCGTGTTGAAAGTTGAAGCAACTAAAGTTTTACCTGAAGTATGTTAACGGTACGTTTATCATATGATCTTCTGGATACAAAAATATAGATTTCTTGGTCATGCTAATGGAATATATCTATCCAATCTAGTGTCAAATCAGACTTTCTGCGTCTGCTGGAATAAAGCTAAGCTTCGCAGCAGAGAAAATGAAATAAATTCAACTCAGGCTAGAGATTATATGTAGAAAATCGAGGAAATGCAAAGGATGTTATTGACTTTAAAACATGCACCGAGACACTATGGACCAGAGATTTTTTTTTTCGAAGAATTTATTTTCAATAAGAAAGTGATATGTTTGTCGAAACTCAAGACATCTAAAATAACGCCATAACCAGCCTGTAATTTATCCATCAATAACTGCCACGAAATCCCACAAATCAAGACACTTATTTATAAACATTCCTTAAATTTATTAAATGCATGTTTACAAAAAAAAACGGCATACCTACTCATGTCTGTATATATCACAATATATATCACAATTTACATAACGTCTTAATCCATCAATTGTTCAGAAAATTATAAAATTCTTGACATGTTATGTATGTACATCTAAAAAGTATACCTACCAAGATTTTGCTTTTATATTTGTACCTAATGTAAAACTTAACAGCTGTTCAGCGTTCTAATTTCCTTCACACAATGCTAATGAATTTGAAACGTGTTTGAGGTGTTGTTAGCGAATCATAGAATTGCTTCAGTTATTACATTTTAAGTACACCGGCTAGTAGTTATTCCTAAACATGAAACTGTTTGTAGCACGTGATAGGTTTAGGAATGCCTGCTATTATTTTTTGCCATTTCTAGTCTTGCCATCGACAGCGCGTTATTCTTGTTGATGACTTAACACTTCACCTTCATTAATAATTCTTAAAACCGTTTCATAACCTTCCTAGACGTGTTTAAGTAAGAATATTTTGTTCATTGTGCACACACCAATAACCCAGGCATAAGTTTTATTTTTAGTCATGATTATATACTTGTAAATATTTTTTAAATGAGGTTATCATCTATCAGTAGAAAATTCAGATATACAACCTATGTACTTGCTGTTTAAAAAGGATGAAGTAAATTACGTAAATATTGTTGTAAAATATGAATATTCCTTATTGGGTCATTTTGGTCAAGAGATTGATCCAAAAATTATCACAATTCGTTATATTTGTGATACATACCACCATAAATTTGTTATTATATCAACTACCAACTTAAATTAAAGTGTGGTGCGTCGAACAAATAATAAAGTTCACTAAAAATCTCCAATAATAAGAACAACCAGTTCTGTCTTCAATTTCTTTGGCAACTTATTGAAGCTGGAAAATTTACCACAATTTTTATATTGCACGTGCAAATATAACTTAATAAATGTAGAAGAGGTTCTGGTACTGTCTCCAGATTCTTGAAAATTTGATTAATCTTTAATTTATCAAATTATTTGTACCTATATTACACACATGTATTGTATAACTTTCCCAATCCCTTTATCAATTTATTGGGTCAAAAATTGTTATAAACGTAAAACTTGCTTTACGTGCATCTTTGGTTATGTTGTCTAATACTTCTAATGAATCTATTTTTTTACTAGATAAATCTATTTATGAGATGCATGTAAGAAATTGAAATTTTTGACATACATATTTCTGAATAGTTCTTATAATAATCGTTCCATTCAATATTTTACAATATTTTTAAGCACCATATTTTATCATCAAAAAAAAAAATTATTAACAGTTACATGTGAGTTACCGTTACAAAAGAAATCGCTTGTCATCGACAAAGATTAAACCGAAATAAGATACCGAAAACGCTTCGTGGAAAGGCCTGTATGCTTTGCCCCTGAATCCTTAAATAGAAGTAATAATTAAAATTGGTAAATTGCCTATCCCACACCTCCCAATCTTAATCAAGTGCTAGCTGAGCAACGTATTCGTATGACGTAACGTTATCTAAATGAAAATCGATTGCAGAAATACATTTAACTGATGGCATTGTAGCTGGATATAAATAAAATTCAATAGTCCCTTGGAATATCTGCAATTAAAAGGTCCTGTGCCTGGCACCATTGTATCCTGTAGAACACTCGCGAAAACTAGGATTGGGAGAATAAAGTCGACGTCGATGCTCGACCCAAGTAGAAAAGGAGAAAAAATGAAAACTTCTAGGTTAAATATTCAGGAATTAATCAATAAACTGAATAATCTAACAGTAGTGGCATATATACAGCGTGGTCAATACATTTGAACATAATCTTCGTCTTGCTACTTAGAGCTGAATATATATGTTATAATTTTAAAAATATCAAAGTATAATAAAAGTAATCAGTTTCCCTTCAGTAGATTAAAATAACAAGAAACAAACATATAAAAATATCTCACGGCATCTCTCCCTTTCATTATGGAATGCGAAGAGTAAATCTTTGTTCTTGTTAATAATTTGAAATTTATGTGGAAAATGTTGATTTAAAACATTATTTTCATTATTTTGGACTGGAAGCAGTGACATTTATTATGTGGTATTCATTTTTCAATAAAAATGTGAAAATGTGAAGTGATCCAAGATCCAAATTGGATTAAGTAAGTAGATATCTCGTATACATGAACGAGCTGTGAAAACGACACCTTTCTGTCAAGTTTAGTTTTAGAGATATTTTATATTCTCTAGAATGCTACAAACCCCTATCAAATGATAAATGTTCTTTTTGAAAAAGTTAAGTTAGGTAACACCCGGAAGCAATAGTATACAGAGTAAAAATAATATTAAAATGTGAGAAAAATAATTTTCTTTAAAACACTGCATTATTAATGATGTGAAGGCCGAAAAAATTATGTCTTAATGTTTTGAAATATGAAATTGTTCTCTAAGATATTTAAGCATTTTGTACCTTAACGGTTAAATGAAGCTAATTTGTTACAGAGATTAAATACTGCTTTAGAAATTCGTGACTTAAGAAATAGCATAATTAGCTGGAAAAAAAGTCAATACAGTCAGTATACTGATTAATAACTTACATTTGTAAGTTTTAAATTTTTAAGTAATGTAGGGGGTATAAAATTGATCACAGCAGACCTTTTGTGCGAATTGAATGAAAAGGATCAAACGAGGAACTCACACTCTTTTCAGGAAAAGGTAAGTATTCCAAAAAATAAAGATTCTAGGGTTTTGTATCAATTTGTACGCTCTGTATAGTTTAATAAAAATTATCTTTTTTAAATATTAATCATTGCATTCATCTTTAATCTTGCTTAACAATTTAAGTTTCGCCAAAAGTGAAGGAAATATAAAAAAATTGTAAATTCTTAACTTAAAACTATGTCAAAAAATAACTTTCAATGACCTCCAAGTAAAAAAACACTTTGCGACAGATGTCTATATAAATGTATTTGTTTGAGATTCTTAACGATCTGTTGTTAAAAAAATCAACTTTCTCTACTGCTTTGTTGTTTAACAATGTAGGACACGGCTAAAGAAAATATTAAGTAGATATATTTTTTTAAGTGAAGTAATTATAAACTTTAAATAATACATTAAAATCAATTTGAGAAGTAACTAATACTGACTTTTCATCCTCCAAATCTCAAAATAATGATTTACAAGTATGTATCACTAAAATAAAATCTATGAAAATGAAAGAAATTGATTCATTTTTGTTTATTCTTTTAACAAAACTATACAATTTTGATCTAAAATAGATGTCAACTACTGTATACACTGCAGTTGTAACTATCTCTACTAACCTTGCAAAAATTTACAGAAAAATGTACTACATACATATTTATAAAAATGTTACACCCTGTCGCGTAAATATTTGCTAATCTTGTTATGTAAATGCAATGTAAATATTTATATCACAAAGCAATTGAGAAGTTAATAACAATGAAAATAAAACGGTACAACATAATGACAAGTAGGACAAATATTTAATTTAAAAAAATGTACATGTCATTTTCCACCTACCTAAGAATTAAAAAAATAATTGATTCAACCTCTAACAGATGCTGATAAAAAAATTATAAAATATGCAGCATGTAGTTAATATAATATATGCATGGATGCAGAATTAGAATAACATAGAGGTACATTTATCATACTGAACTTGCTCGTTAACCGTTGGTCATTTATCAATTGTGGGTCAATGAAAAATATATGTATATGTAATAGTCAAGTAGCTGTTCCTGTTCAGTGTGGGTAAATAACTAATTTTTTCTGACAGTTAAGTATCCAACTGGATTTAATCTAGTTTTATCAATTTTTCAATGCCGATCATTACGGTAATATTAATTGTTCTGTATTTATTAAGCACTGACATAGACCTTAGATTCTGAACATTTTAAACAATTATAAAACTTATTTATTCTTTTGTTATAGTCAATAATTTATATTTATTCCACAATTCCAAATTATCAACCTTACTTACGCATATTTCTTATAATTTTTTTTAACGGAAATAATAAATTAACACTAAACTTTGGAAAAAAAATTAATTGGACAATGTCTATTTTGTTTCAAGAGGTAATTTTTGAGTAAAATATTTCCTACATCATAAAAAAACTTGCACTAACAAATTAACTTTTAATCAATATTTATAATACTTTGCAAACAATTGTTATCGTTAAACAATAACCTTGGCATTTTTAAAGAAATAAGCGATGCTAATATAAACAACAAGTAAACACTGTTATTCGTATATCTAAAAAAATTATAATGTTTTACGATAAAATAACATTTTTAAATTCCTCAAAATTAAATTTCCTCTGTACTAAACCTACTGCTAGTATTTTGTGACTTGATATAAAATCTAACTTGAGAGATGATGATTTCCGTAATATAGTCAAGATTTAAATCAAAAACCTTTTGTACAAGGGTATTTCTATATTAAATCTATAGATTGATATATAAATTTGATTGTGAGTATTCTATGAATAAATATTTATAGAAAGAGATGATAACATATTTTTCAAAAATAGAAAAAAATAATAAATATCTCCAAAATTAACGAAAACTTTTAGGTATACAGAAGAAGTCAAGCAAACAACGATATCACTTGGAAGTATATCCATACTTACGAGAGATTAGTTGTTAAAATATTCCAAAATAAGTCACGACCACTCTAAATCCGCACCTGCGGTTTCTTTCGAATAACTACTCTTAGTTTGCGAGTCCTGAATCCGCGGCTATGTAGTTCCCCTCCAAAGGATGGCGACGTCACCGTGCAAGGAGGAGATAAAGGATAACTTGTTGCGATCTATGACCATGTATGATCTCGACAGCGACAATAGCTTCTCCCACTCGAAAATTGCGATCGACTACCTGTTAAATTGGATAAGTGATCGGTAATTGGATTTTAATAAAGAACGAGTGGGTTTACGTAGATAATTCCTATAATTTTTTAATTGGGGTTCAATGTCTGTCGTTTAGGCGCACGGAAATTTAAAGAAATGTAATGGACAGGGTGTAATAACATCGCTGCTACAAACTTTCGGGAAAATTAAAAAAAGAGTGTAAAATCTGGTTTTTAAATAATTCCGAAAGGTTCTACGACCCTTCAAAGATCAAAAGTGAAACAGTTTTTGATCACTTGCTTAATAACTATTGAAAAATAAAAATTTAATACAGTACAGTGTCGTCGCAGTAACATACCTACATGTAACATGTAACACAATAAAACTCAATGAGTGGAGACCAACAAACGTGACGTTTCTTTTGGGGTAGGTCGTCCCTGCTACGCTAGGGACTTATTTCCAACAACTTTTCTTCTGAAGATGACGGAAAAAATGTGGTTTGTACAAAGAGGATAAAATGTTTAAACATAACCCTCCACGCATATACCAGGATCCCTACGAACTTGTTAAATCAGTCAATTGTTTTACATTCATTATTAATTGGGAGTATTGTCGACAATTCCGTGAGGCTTAGTTGTAAACTGAACTTCGCAAATGAATTGTATAGGAGAAAACGTCGATTAATCCGAATATGAGAATTGTATTCACCAGCAGAAGAGACGGTGGCCTTCTATGGCTTACATCAGAGAGGTTCTCCTGAGCAACGTCATCACTTTTTTCTCTTTGATAGGCTGGTTGACGGCTCAGGAGAGCTGATCTCTCGCTGGGAGGATGCACAAGGGCCCAATGGGAAATAAGTGTTGTAGCTCAGTATACTGAGTTACCCTGCAAAACACGTGATAAAAACACATTTTTAAAAGTAGTTGAAAAACCTCATTCGCAGTTAGCAGAGGGTAAGTAATTCGTTAATTATTCATGTGTTGGTGCATGCTACCATAACTCGTTTATGCCAAATCCACATTAGTTCTTATACATATTGTTTTTTTGAAAAATATATTGAAATTTTAACGGAAAAAAGCATATAGTGCGGGAAAAGTGGACCGGCTTTACCCCTCTATGGTGGATGCAAGTGTTTCTTACATAGGTACCTACTTTTTTATTTTAGGTAGATTTAATCGAGTAGGTATTTAACAATGGTCCGTACGTACAAATGAAAATTAGGGAAATCTCCAAACTGCAACTACACACAGGAAAATCTGCAACCGGCTTTGAACGAAATTAAGAAAGGAAATTTATCCCAGAGGAAAGCATCTGAAAAGTAAGGTATTCCTAGGACTACTCTAAAAAGGAAACTAGATAACTCTCACCCCAGGAGGTACGGAAGGCAACCAGTTTTAGACGAAAAAGAAGAAAAACAACTAGTGGATGGTCTTTTGCTATGTGGAACATGGGGTTTCCCGCTGACAAAACTGGATATTAGGATCATTGTCAAGCAATTAGATCGAATAGGTCGAAGTGAATCCCGCTTTGTAAACAATATGCCCGGCAAAGATTTTTTAAAGTATTTTATGTTTGTTTTAAGTTTATCTTATAAATAATAACTGTAAGAGGGTTATTGCTATTAATAATATCTTTACTATATTTTTTAAAAATTAAATTTGGTGGTCCATTTTTGCTATTAGGAGGACAAGTAGAACCAAATCTATACTTATTAAATAGGGTGGACATCTTTCCCCCACTGTGTGGGTAAAGTGGACCGGCTTTTAAAAAAAATATATAAAGAGTCAGGAGAAATCCCAAGAAATCAAATTTAGTGGACACGTAGGTGATACCTCCACACACTTACATTTAAATTTCCAGCCACATATCTTGAAAAATCTTTACATAATTCAACAAAAATATGGAATTTGTGGCCCACTTAGCCCCGCTCTACGGTAGTGATCTAATATCAAGGCTACACTTTAAGAGAAAAACTGAATAAGTTTTAAATATTGGCCTATATTTCGTATATCAAGAATTTTGGTGCCAATTCCAACTTCAATTGCCTTGGAAGTCTTGTTAAATCAACTGCCACTTCATATTGTGACGAAAGAAGAAGCAAGCAGACGCTAAGAAGAGTAGACACCAAGATGAAGAATCCATTATTTCAGGGTCTATTTTGGGCAAACTAGTTACTTAAGTTATTCAATAAAATATCACATTCTAGTTTTAAGGTTCGATTTGACTTATTAGATATTACTAAAGACGTATCATCAGCGTACATGGTAAAATGAGTATTAGGTGAGAGAGTATAGATATCATTTGTATATAGTAAAAGTAACACAGGGCCTAAAACAGATCCCTGTGGTACAGCCAACGTTACCAAAGAGTATTCCGAGTTATATTAACCACAAACATCCTGATTAATATAATTTATGCTTACAAATTGCTTCCTATTTTCATTATGTACCTAGTAGTATCTAGCTACAGACTTACATAGATATATATTTTTCTAACATTTTATGTAAAGTTAGCTCTTCATCTATGATATACTGAAATTTTAATAAAAAGTTGTTACCTACTGACAAACCAAACAATAAATTCGGGTCTGGAAACGTCTTATGTCGTATCATTAATGTCTTTTGTGTCATTGTGTCTTTGTGTTTTTCACTCCCTGTGACATTCCCCCAACGATTTTTTCCTCAAATCAAGGATAAGACTAAGATAGAAGAATGTCAGATTAAATAACACTGCCTGTTTTTTTGTTATTGTATGTACATATAACAAATTTATCTTCGATATCCCCAAACTTAAGTATCACTTATTTTGCTTTACTTTTATCATTTCCTTGATATACAAAACACCAACCAAATTAGTAGATGCACGTTCGATCGCCTTTACAATTATCGTTACTGGACGAATTGAGCATGGGTTTAAATGGATATTATTGCCGATCGTGGCGGTTAAGAGAAATTGGAAACGTCCGTGAACGCCCCGTATATGGGTTTGCACCTCGTCTAGGCCAAATGACTCATTTTCATCCCACCGCTCGTCGCCCACAAACTGCCCTGGTATGACCCAAATAAATATGCCCATATGGTCGTTGAGAAGTTAAAGTTGATAGCTATTCTGAAGTTCGCAAATTAAATGAGAATTGGTTTTATTATACAGAGTGTTCTGCAATTAATCTGCAAATATTGAGCAATTATCCTTTATGCAATTAATTCATACCATGTATTATTTTTAACCTGTGAAATAAAAATTGATAAATCAGTTTTCAAAGACTCTTTGTCCTATTGAGAAATTGGAGCTTATTTTTAACTCCTTTCCTTTTTTAAGTCGCGTAGGAAGACAGAAACAAGAATTGCGTGGACCACTATTTGCTAAAGTTTCTGTAATTTTTTTTTTATGTGTTATGTCTGTGGGTACAATTATAAATATGAATAATGATATCCAACGCAAAACCCACCAATATCATTTAAATATATTTCGTGTACACTAGTGCCAATTGTAACGGAACAGTGATTCTGCAATGTCTTTCACACTGGTTGTTATATATGTCAAATGAGCGCAGTACAAATTTTCGTCATAGTTCCGGTAACCCAAATATTTAAGTATAATAACTGACGTAATTGAAATTATCATTCCTATTCGTCATTAAGTTTATTGTTTACTACTACTGAACTAAATAATATAAAGAAATGTTTATTGTGTTAATAGCAGGATGAAAGAAATCAATATCATCTCATAATAAATGTATTTTCTATGATACATTTTGTTAAGTATGAATAAAAAAATTATATAAAAATTTGAAAATAAAACAGACAGTAAACAAAAAATAGAAACTGGAAAATTCAGGACTAAATCCACCTTTAAGCTTCTGGCTTTGATTATGATTGAACTTGTGAAATTATAAATAAGAAAAAAGGTAATACTGGAATCATATTGTGTCGTTCCTTCGCATTTGTCTACCACATAAGTTAATGTTGCGTAGATATCTTTTTCTACATTTTTAAGTAAAAACGTTTCTATATATTGTACAGGATGTCCTAATATTCCAATACAAGAACTGTTCTTGGGACCAAATATCGACGGGGGCTAAATCTAAACAATGATTGAAGTTATTTTTTATTTAGGTAGATGGATATCAGGGCCATCTGAAATTCGTATAAAATATTTAAAATCTAACATCTTAAAATTCCAAAAATCGAAAAATAAACATTTTAATTTTTGACAGTAGATTCAAGTTTACGTGCAAGATATTAAACAAATACCTACTAATCGCCATGTACCTACTCAGTGTTACAGTGGTCTATACTTATTCTTTCTTACTGGACCATTTATTTGGTTTATAATGTAGATTTGAATTAAATAATTTTAAAGAAATCGGCTCTTATTGTAGTGCTTCTATTTTATTCTAAAAGCTACCATTATACATACATATATGTATTTTACATTTAATCTTCATGTTTTCAGTGGCCCATTAAGTAGCACAAATCATATACACAGAGCTCGTAAAGTTTGGAATAAATTCGAAAAATCGTTATTGAAGGGTTTTGACAGGAAATCCTCGGACACGTCAACTTTAGTTTATAAAATGTCACTTTTTTCAGCCATCGACTTTTATTTTGTTTCGTTTGTTTTTGATGTATGACGTCATCGGCAATTTTTTTAAATGGCAGCCCATATTTTTTTCCACGGATTTCGATAGAGCACATTTTTCTGAGTACGAATATGTCAAAAACGNTTTATTTAGGTAGATGGATATCAGGGCCATCTGAAATGCGTATAAAATATTTAAAATCTAACATCTTAAAATTCCAAAAGTCGAAAAATAAACATTTTAATTTTTGACAGTAGATTCAAGTTTACGTGCTACTAATCGCCATGTACCTACTCAGTGTTACAGTGGTCTATACTTATTCTTTCTTACTGGACCATTTATTTGGTTTATAATGTAGATTTGAATTAAATAATTTTAAAGAAATCGGCTCTTATTGTAGTGCTTCTATTTTATTCTAAAAGCTACAATTATACATATATGTATTTTACATTTCATCTTCATGTTTTCAGTGGCCCTTTAAGTAGCATAAATCATATATGTAGGATGGTATAAATTAGTTCCCATGGTCCCATATTAGAATATATTTATCCTGTACCTATTCATTTCAAGGTCTTTTATGTGGGTACTATTTATAAATGTTGATTGGTAAATATGTTTATTAACATCCAAATGTAGGAGCTGCATCTGTTTCTAATCAAATAAGGAAAAAAATAAAATGGGAGAGTGTTTAGCATCGTTTTCAATAAACTGCCACCCGAGACAAAATGTACATATGTATGTATTTGAAAAGAATTATTTTAATAACATAATTTACATCAATTATTCTTACGTCAAAAAGTTCAAGGGTGTTTTTTTATTGAAAAATAAACAGATAAGCAACGAAAGAAAAGGCATCACTTTATTTCAAGTTATTCAAAAATAATTCTAGTGCATGCTAGAGTTGATTTGAAGTAGTAATGTTTATTTATTTATTTTTATATCTGGTAAAAAATAATTTGAGGCAAATATCCCAATCATATCCAATAGGGACTTATTGTTATATTATGATTATTATTATACTATTATGATTTATCATAATCAACTAACTTTATATTTATTAGATTATTATTACTGTTATTTTCAAATCAAATAAGTGTACCTCTATATAAATTTATTTCATGAAATTACGTTACATGTAAAAACTGATTATAATTTGTAAGATTTGTATTGCAATGTGGATAATTATTTAAACAAAAGCCATTGGTTTATATTAACAAAATAAACAATTTTCTCATCCTTTAGATTAGGAGAACAGCAAAAATGAGATGGTCATAGACGTTATCATAGTAATTATTTTTTAAAATGTTTTTTATCATCCAGCCGCAGCATGTAGACAACTAGAAACTACTCATGTCTGTGTAGAAATTGCCTAACTTGAAACAAAATGAAAGAAAAGGACATTGTCATACTCTGATATTGGCAGGAAATGCTTACCAGGAAATCGTTATCCGTAAAGGATTTTACTGAACACTAGATTTCACTAAAAAGAAATTCTTAATCGGTATTATATACAAAATATTTAATACTTGAAATATTTACTTATGACATGATAATTTACAATTTTGACTTTTTTTTTTGTGAATTGAATAGTTTAAATGTATTCAACTGTATTATAAGTTTATTTTAAAATAAAAAAGTAATTAGGAATCTAATGTCCTAAATCTTAGTGGCCTCGAAATTCTGAAGTTATGATAAGCCGCCGCCATTATTCCATGGCTAGAAATTGGCCTCAATGATTTGGGATCGAGGGGGATTATCCCTCTTTATTCTGCCTTATCTCATGTAGGCCTGGACAGCCTTCGTAGGTGGGCCCCATCCGTCGTCTACCCCGACCGCAAATGCGGCCGGTGTAGGCGCTTTGTGGGACCTCCTTTTGTCCTGTCTGGGCCCCGCCGGCTAGGGCCCTTTCTTCTGGCGCTCTTCTTGCTTCGCCGGCTCGTCTGTGTAAACCCCGGGGGTGGTGTCATGTTTATGTGTGGTATGGTTGGGTAGGGTAGTGCGGCTATGCAGCTTGGGATGCGCTTTGCTAAGGTGGCCCTTAGGCTAGCACGGGAGAATTCGTGATCGCCATGCACGTGGTTCCAGGTTGAAATATATGTACAGATTAATAAATAAACCTTATTTACTATTTTGTCTTCCAAATTCAAATAAACTCTTCCCACATTGAATCTTATTGGACTATCAGTAGTCTTGGTTTTTAGTTAATTTAGGCTGCGTTCAGTGAATGGTCGGACCCTTAGAGCATATACTACTGGAGGCAGCGTCTCAACGGTCGAGGGTATAGCGGAGGTATAGAGAAAGATAGCAAATACTTCTCTCTCTCTCTCTCTAAACCTTCGTTACACTACGAGACGCTGCCTCCACTCCTCCAGTAGTATATGCTTTAAGGTCAGACCAGCCAGTCGTTCAGCGGACAAATATTTCGTTGGTCAGCCCAATCAGCTGATTAGGAATATACGTTTTAATAGTTACTAAAAGCCATTCAGCGAATTGTTTGACTAAAGAAGTTTGACGGAACTAGTCCGACCATTCGCTGAACACAGCCTTACATTAGAAAATAAAAAAAAATAAAAATGGGTTTATAATATGTGATTTATATCCAAATAAAATGAATGAAAAATGTATTTATAAATATAAAATAAATATTACATTGTTGTTTCGTTTTCTTCTCAATATATGACAACATACATCGTAATTTTTGTAAATTTATAAGAACTTCAGTCAGTTTAATAAATATTCTTGTTGTCAATCAGATTTTCATATAATGCCCAAATCACATCCTTTCTTCCTATTACTCATATGAGCCTCTGCTATTTTAGCAAACACTTCTTTATTTAAGAGTCGATAGTTTGTAGCCAAAAATCTGAGTGCAGTCGAATTCAGACTGTCTACTCCATGACTTATAATGTTCCAGCCTAACTCAATGCCAGTTCCAAAATCACATTCGTCGGCTGCTATGCTTGCATTAGTAAATACTGGTTGCAGCTCCGCCAAATATTTCGGCCTCTGCTCTGGAAGCGCATTTTGGAGCTTAGTAAACAAAGTGTTCAAATCCTTGTTGTTCAGTGCCAGTTCTCGATAACCTAATTGAGATCTGCAAAACATAACAACTAAGAAAAATATATATTCCAAAAGATTTTATCTATACTTTCGGTTATAAGGAACAACAAGCCCTATTTTGTTGAAAGTCCGTGTAACAACCTTTTTTTCTCTGGAGATTATAGCGTCTGTTCTTTGCGTTAAGTCTACTTTTAAATTTTCTGCTTCTTTTTTAATGGATGACTGCATTCTGTCAACATGCATTTTTTTAAAGGGATCTCCTGTTTTTTTCAGGTCATCAAGGTACATACTGAAAAATAAGTAAATACTGAAATTTGTGAAACTGTTCACTCTTTTTCCTTACAGAGTGTATAGGTATATAAAAAGTTTAATCAAACTTTGACAGTAGATACTGAGCCTCAAATTAACACAAAAAATATATTTTGAGGTACAAGTTATAATTATTATTTTTTTTAATTACAGCACCACTAAGCTGATCATATTATTTTAAAATTGAAAATTATGTCTAAATCAATATATTCCATGCTAGAAATTGTTGCATTCAAACATTTATGAACATATTCTAACAAATCAATTTGAAATAACTTACTTGATTGCAGCGAAAATATTTGGGCCCATCTGATGAAGCACACCATCCTTTTTTGCACAATTGCTTGCTAGAAATATAGGACTTTCATCAGGAGAGTCCCTAAAATAACCTATATGAAACCCTGTTTTATCATCACCTTTTAGTACTGTCTGCATTTCAGGTGGATCATAGTAGTACCGCCAGTGAAGTAAATATTCCTCGTCTGATTTATTAACATTAACAAACTTTCCTGCAAGAACATCAAACGGGCCTACTAATTTCAATCCGATATCTTTAAGAGCATTTAACGGATCATTTGGTTTTATCTGCTTACAATAATTCCAAAACTGATAAAAATCTGTTGGCATGTCAACTAAAAACTTTGCTCTTATAAATTGTTTGTTATCAAATTTATCAGAGTTTCTTTTTTCTATCTTTTTTTCTACTGGAGTATTATCTTCAATAGCATTGGTTTTTTCGTCTTTGTCCACATTTGCATTTCTTGAATCATCTGATGCTGATGAAACACCATTACTGATTTGAACTGTGAAAGGTTTTGTAGCAGTCGTTAGAGTTTCATTTTTACTATTTGCTACATCCTCATCTTTTTTATTTGTTGTTCCATTTTCCCTTGTTTCTGAGACAGATAACTCATCACTATTTTTACTCGACAATGTGTCACTGCTTTCTTCAGTGTCATTTTCGTCAGAGTCTGACACGTCATTACTTGTTATAATTTCCTTGGTTTCTTTATTTCCCTTATCAATTTTAATTTTCTTATTTATATGGCCTAAATGTTGTTTATTCTACAAGGCTTCAAATTAGATACGAGACATAAAACAAATTAACTAACTAACCTTTTTTGAAGGGTGTTTGTATTTCTGGTGATGCATAGGATTTTTTTGGTAACATTTTGCCCCATATTTACAAACTATTCTATAATCTTTAACATAGTTAGCATATTCAGAGTCGTCGGACATTTTTTTCCCTTTTTGTTGCACCACATGAAAGCGCCAAAATTAGAAACGTTATAAAATAAAATATATTGGTTATGGTCACAAAAATCAAAAACAGGTTCAGAGATATAATAAAAGAGAAATGAAAATAAATGTCAAAACACAAAACATTGTCAAATATGTATAAACTGGAATGACAGAGGCCGCCATTTTGAAGGTTCTAATACGAGGGGCATCGGTAATGTTACTTCAATACTACCTGGTTAATTCTAAAATTTTTATAAAACTAGTGGCATAAAGAAATTCGAAGGTAATATTTTGATTATTTTATAGTTATTACCTTGTTCGATACGAGGGAGCACATCTAATCCCACAACATGTCACATAGTTTCAAATGAGAACTAAAAAGATCTATTACTGATTATGGGAATAAATGAGACGACGTCTTTTAAGCATTCACCATTATTAAATTATTCAGTATTTTTTTAAGTTCTATTGTCTATATCTTTACAGGAATTTCAGAAATCTGTCATTTGCATTCGTATAACTATAGATTTATACAATGATGGTATATCGCAGTTAGCCCAAACATGTCGTAAACGTAAAGATATCATTAAGATGTATGACAGGATATTTTAATATGTCTTAGAAATATACGGTTCCCGCTATATCTAGCCTTAGGATATTTTATGTTACAAATCTGGATATCCAAACTATTAATGGGATATCCTTCATATGCTGCATAATAAAATCTATGAAATACCTATGTCCTGAAAACACGGTCAATGTCCCAGGATACACGCTATGAAGAGGGGGTTAACGGGATATCCTGGGAATAAACTGTGCTATTTGGGGCTTAAATCCCACTAGAATTAATAAAATAAGTTTACTTCAAGACTAACAAAAAGGAAATTTAATTAATTAAAGTAAGTTTTAAATTGCAGTTCTTCCAGTTTTCTTACCTTTTAACGTTGCACCTAAATTTTAGTATCACTGATCAAAGATAAAATAATTAATGAAATATGACCTTTGTTTGTTCAGAATATTGTAATGCAATGTACGAAATTATTTTAATATATTTTAGAAATTCATCTTTTTACAGAAAAACAGAATTCAGGATTAGACTAGTGCAGATTATGATAGAAGCATTATTTGTCTTACAGTTGTAAGGCTGGCTGCATATACTATGAAAAATGCATATAAATACATGATTTTTTGAAGTAGATATCTGTCAGTAATAAAGAGGAAATTTGTGTTTTGCTATTGTATACAAAGAGGGAGTCGTAGAATTTGTTAGTGCTTTAGGCCTGAGAATGACTTGCCCGCTACTGCTCAAATGTGTATGTATAAGCGCCTAAGCCGTTTCAGTTTACCGCTAATCAATTTTTTGAAAATCTGTTATGTAGTTATGATTTATTTGTTTAGAATTTGCCTACCTAAGTTAGTGACTCAACCCTTCCATAAATTGTTTATAATTTATAGCCTGTGACTAAAACAATGTTTAAAGAAACTAGATTTTCCTCATAATCTTAAAATAATCCAATGACTCACAGCATACAGAAATTTTATGGCTTGTTATTAAATGTTCCTGCCCACTGCTTATTTACATACCTACCACAATAATTAATAGGTTATTGTAATCTACCTATCAATCAATACAAATTTAAATTTAGTTAATATATAGTAAATTATATAATACATACCTGCACAAGATGAAAAATTAAAAGTTAGAAAGGAAAAACGTGAATTTAGAAAAAAATATATACTTATGAAAAAAAAAACGGAATTATTTTAGAAGCTTTTATTTAACTTGCTTTGTTAGTATGGGACAAATCTTACAACTGGATTTTAAAATAGTTATCCCCAACCGATTGAGTTGAAATTTCGCATGTACGTTTAGTTTGGAATGCAATGCATGGTTAGCTAAGTGACGTCATTCAATATGGCGGACTCCCAAATATGACGGACCAGTTATTTTTTATGCACCCCACAATATGGGTATCAAATGAAAGGGTTTACTGAGAATACGAAAATAAAATGACGTCACTAAGAGCTTGTTTAAAAAAAATTATGCATGAACTTATTTCAGTATACATGAAAAGTATCTCGCAAGATAGAGCCACATTCGATTTGATATTAATACTCACAATAAGAGGATTCGATTAAATTGATTGTCATATCTAAATCTGCTGGATAGTAATAAATGCTAAATCACCTCATTTGGAATGAAAAAATACGGATTAACACAGAAATTTTCCTTTTAAAGTAGATGTAAATGCAAAATTATAACTAAGTCCTACCCTGTTGCTGTTCTTTCGTCGGATTTCTAAGAAGGACAGAGGTAGGTAATGACTGAGACGATAAATCTTCAAACATAAAAATACATTTACATTACTACACCTATTCAGGTTTAAAATGCTTTTTCTTTTGATATTTATCTATTTAGGCACCACGGTATGCTGTCCATACTGAGTCACTACTGTTAGTCTCAGATATGATATCCACTGGTTCGTTTACAAAAGAATTTACTGTCCAAACACTAAAACACTATGGCTTTGTTGACTTTAGTGTACAAATAAGTTGAACTCCATTTCCCTTTGTCACCTATTCAGACGACTCCGTAAACACTTGTCAAATATATGTATGTACAGGGTTAGTCACTATAATCTGGCGGCAACTTATTGTGAGTTCATTTGAAATTACAAACAAATTTTTAATACAAAAGTTTTAGCTTTTTTTTATGAATTTCTATAATACAGTATTAGAAAAAACAATTGAATATGGAAATCACTAATTTAAAGAAAACAATTTTTTTAAGTGAAACACCCTATATTAGTGCATACTTAGCTTCGTTAAATTTTTCTCTTTTCAAAAATATATATGTTACTGTTTGATTCAGGAATTTTCGACATATTTCAGTTTAAAACTATTTTTGAAAAATCAGGAGGGAAAATGTCTGACGGATCGCAGTGGCTATGGACGAGGCACGTGGAACAAACAAATGACTTTCCTATAACAAACTATTTTAACAAAGAAATAACGTTTAGAGAGAACAAAAAATTTAAAGTTATTCGTTTATTTTACAAGAATAATAATAATCTAAATTAGTGTTTCTGGTGGAGACTTCTCGAAGCGAGAATTCCCGAGAAATCTGGCCTTACTCGAGACGAGAAAAAAGTGTCGAGAAATCGAAATTTAAAAATCAAGCGCGTCTTGAGTTCTTGACTGGAGTTCGTTTCGTTCATGCGTTCAATTCGTTTCTCGACAAATAACTGCGAGCGGTTAAAGTGGTTTCTCTAACAGCTCATGATTTATTTATTTTAAGTTTTTATGGCTTTAGTTTACTTTGATGATTCTTTTTTTTAATGTACATACGTAGTTATAAGTCTGTGTAGAAATTTTATTATAAGCAGATACCTAATGTTGAAGTGATAAATTAATAGGAAGAACGCTTCTGTATCTTTAAATTAAAGCTTGTTTTTTTTTTAAGATTTCTTCGGTTAAATTCCTTATTTACTATTTATTTAATTAAAAAACTGCATGATTAATGATTATTAATAATTATTATTGGAAGAAAACTACGATTCACAAACATTGAAATAAACATAAGTTTATTTCAAGAAAAAAGTAAAGAGGAGACTAAGTAAATATTTTAAAAAATGATAATGTCAAATAAAGATCTAAAAATCAACAACATAATATGTTTCATACATATATTTTCATTATCTTCAATGTTTCCTCATTTATTTGTAAAATTGTTTATCATTTTATTATAATATAGGTATTGATGTAATAATGATTGCCTTTCTACATTGCATCCAAAACATTATTGGTGTATAATTCCAATTTTTATTAAAGATTTTTAAGCAAATAGGCCATGGGTTTTTTTACCAAGTTGCTTCGTTTAGCCGCCGCTAGATGGTATCAAATGTAGCAAAAAATGTTAGTTGTTTCTGGGTAATTTTATACTTAATTTTTAAGTAATTTTCGTTTATCTTACCCTGAGATTGAGTCTAAATCTGTTGGGTAATATATGATAAAATAAATAAATAAATGCATAAACAAATAAGAAAAAAACGGCAGAAGTGGTTAATTTATATTGCGAATAGGGTGCCATCAGATGTGATGTTGCCACGTCTTAAATTTGTACTACTTCTACCTTAAGATTTCGTACACAGATTAGGAGTAGAGTTACCTATATTTTGGAGCTCAGTGTATTGATCAGACCTAATTAATCAGACAACTTGATTTTTCCGGCGTGTTTATTTTTTTACCTGTAGACAAAGAGGAAGCTGTCGCATCCACAGGTAGGCAAGGTAACACAGTTAAGGGAACCCGACTACGGGCGAGGTCCCCCGAACGATGAATTTGAGTGGGACGTTCAAAACATGGAGCGCCATTCAAAAGTTTACGTTTACAGTGTGAAACTGACCTTCTTGCGATAGGTTTTAATGACGGCGTTGCTATTTTGAATGTTTGTCAGCGCGAAATGTTTATTTATAAATTATTAATGAGTTGAGAGGATACAGTTTGTTTTGGCGAGCAGTTTCGATTGAAAAATTGCACTTGTTGTGAACATGTGGTGAGAGGTCTTGACCGTATCTCGTTCAGAGGTAAAAATTAGGTAAATATTCTTATCGATATTTTCATGTTTACCTCCATTTACTGTAGCAATAGTAATTAAATATTGATTTTATTTTTCCGATCAGCTTCTATAGTAGACTCAGATTTGTATTTTTTTTAGGTGTTCAGTCGCGTCGATTTTAAGTAGGTCTCCTTATATAAATATTTGATTATTTCTATTTAAGATAAATAATACTTGTGCTTATGATTCTCTATTTGCTGTAATCTCTATTTATTTAAATTTTGCAGTTTCAAAGAATTTTATTGAAAAGAAACATTTTTCTTGAATAGTGACTATAGGTATATTTTTTTAGATAAATATTTTTAATTAAAAAATTGTAAACATATTTGTTTTGGATTAAATTCAAAGTTTACTAAACTAAATTTTTAAGCTAAATAAGTAACATCGACGAGTAAATTTAAATATTTAAAAAAATTGGATCCAATTCAATGAACTAAATATTACATAAAAAAATATATATTTGTGAAACTTCAACAACCAAGCTTATTTCTACATTTTTGAATATTTCATGAGCTGGTTGTTAAGACGTATGTATATTACTTATCCTTATGTAGAGAGGCTAAACTAATTTGTATAAATTAAGACTATAATATTACACAAAAGAGTCCACTTATCTATCATTTCGATGTTTCGCGCGTATATTACAACGCAATAATGAAATATGAAATTATGCTAAGGAGGTAGGAAATATTTAATTCACAAAAATGTGATTAATGCTTAAAGTATAGGAGGATATCAACCACTAAAAAAGTTGACATTTTGCTTTACGGAAGTTGTTCCCAGACGCCTGCTCTTTTAAAATTTTGCTGGATTCATAGTATACCTGTGGCATTTACCTTTACTGAAAGTCAGTAGGTATGGATCGAAAAACATGAAATAAAGAATTTAAATTACCTGTTTTATTAATTGAACTTTTCCATAAAAACTGTAATAAAGCGTGAAATTACAAGCACAATTAACTATGCAAATTATAAACAATCCACAGTATACAGTATGATTAAATTACTGAAATTGGCTTTATAATTTGTTATAAATTTTATGAGCTGAATATTTCCATAATTTTTCTACATACAGCTGTAAACAAATATCAATCAAATCTTGTTCATTAAACTCTACAGATTTTTGAAATACTACACATACAGGGTGCGGCATAAGTGCGTTGAAGTACGATATCTCCGATGTTATAGAAGATACCTATTAAAAAAAGTTTTTTACAAACATTGTAGCCAACTTAAAACTACACATTTTAAAATTATTTTCGTATATGGATGTTACGTATTACCAAGGTGAACCAAACATACTATTTTTTAAATAGGACACCCTATATATTACTACAAATTTAAATTAATCTCCTCTCTCCCATGCTTCCAATATAGGATTTAATTATATTATACAGGGTATTTCAAAAGTTATGGTCAATTGTATACGAGAATCATTCCCATTTCAGCATCCTGTATACCCTACCCTAGACAAAACAACTTAACAGCAATTTTTTTGCAGGCATAACTTTTTGATATTGCTACAATTTTACGAGAAAGTGCTATTTCTTTATTAGTGCAACAGTTGAATATAGGGCGAGCCAAAACTCGAGCACATAATTTTCACCATTTTTTTAAAATGAATCACCCTGTATTTTATTTTAAAAACTGAAATGTTTTTTCATTTTTATAAATCATTTCCTATAGCTAAAATCATTAATTTCTGAGATATTTACCATTTAATAACAAAAAAAGAGTTTTTAAAGAATTCCTATTATACCTAACAAAAACAATACAATATTTTACAGTTTGTTAAACGACAAGCTAGTAATTATTACTGAATAATATTTATCTGTCATTTGCCCACGACCAACTTGTTATAATAGGAATTTTTTTAAAACTCTCCTCAATCTGATGAGTGGTTCAAAAGTTTTAAGGAAAAGCGGGAAAAAAATTCTATTTCAACGCCCCCTATCTCCGAAACGATGCGATTTAGGAAATAAGTTTATATCATGAATAAATATTATTTTAACCTATCGATTCCTGAAGTTATCCAGATTAAATCTGAATGACCCTGTATAATATATTTAATATTAGCAAACATAGTGTATGGAACTCTTTGTATCCTAGATTCTAACAAAAGTACAATTTTTCTGAATGTTTCTTTTTTCAAACTTTTTTGAGAAAATATTTTTTTTGCTTCTATACTCAGTTTTCCGAAAATTTTACACCTACACATGACCTACTACTCATTGCTGTTACTATTATTTTTATATTTCGGAAATTTGAAAATCATTAGCGATTCTTATATCGAAAATTTAAAACAAATATAATCAAACTACTCAAAATTCTATATGCCAAACGGCACCTCAATAAGTTATATATGGAACTGTCAAAGAAAAAAAAAATGTAAAATTGTTGCTCTTAAATATAAGAATATTTTACAGTGTACTATAAGGCAATTATATAAATTCTGTAAAAAATACTATAGAAAATTAAAACAAATTTTTAGAGTATGTTCAATATGTTTAATACTTTTATAAACCTTTCCCTGAAAATTTGTCATGATTCGATGGGAAAATTCTTCCTATTTCGAAATAAAATAAAATTGCTTCTAATTAAATACGACGTATGCGTTTATATTTTTCTACAGTTTGTTTGAATATTTATATAGTTAGTATGCTTTTTCTAAAGATGATAAGCTAAATCAATACATTTGACATTTTTTAAATGTATTTTTGTACAATTTTTTTCTTATTAGGTATAATCGATAGCAATAATTTTGTATACAGAAATATGTAAATTTGTTTAAATTTTACAAGTTATTATGATTAAAGCAAATATATAATCAAATGGAAACTACATTTCTATTAAAAGTTGTTATTGTAAGTGATCTTTACATTTTTTGTCGGATGACTTTTTGACTTTCTCAAAATAGCTCAGAAAATGGAAGAACTTCTATAAAAACAAATAAACATGTGTTCAATGCGAATCTAATCAAAATATAATAATTACCGAACTAATTTATATGTACTAATTTGACTTCCTACCAATAGCAGAATGAAAGTGGAAGACCACTATAGTCAGCATGGCGTGTCAAAAATAAAACTAGGAAGATTTGGATTTAGATTTACCGATTGAAAGCACTAGAGCAGAACGGTGATGTCTCTTGTTTAACTATTGTATACCGATCCTACTTTCTTTATTTCGACAGAAGCTAATTAAATGTGTCTTACATTAGGATCATTATCTAATTAAAACAAATAACAGTACATTAGGGTTATCGTCTATTAATTGTCATTCTAAAGCTTTCACAATTTATGATGATAAATCAAAGTTTGGGGAACTGTCGATGTTGTTGTAGTACGTGTATTTCAAGTGTGATTCTTTCAGGTCATTTTAAGAAACAAATTTTATATCATGTAAGTGTATGTTCCAAATTTGTAATAATTCTAAATTTATTGTCCAATAGAAAATATCCGATAATAATACAATAAGACGATTATTACTCTATAACACTACACTGCCGTTTTTAGTCCTATATTACAAAACAAAAGATTAGCTTAAATGGCATTTGCTTTTTATGAGAAATTAAAGCACCTAGTGAAATTTCTTATTCAAAAGAATATCGTTAAATCTTAAATGTTCGCAGGAAAAAGTTGGGGATCAATGGTAAATTATAGAAAAGATGTGTTGGTATAATGACGAAATATGTGCAAAATTTCAACCAAACATCTTATAAATAAGCAGAATTGTTAATGCGAAAGAAGCGTCTAAATTTAAAAAGAAATACGTAAAATTCCATTATTTTCATGGAATTAATGTGACTGAATTTACTTTGTTGTAACACCCTGTAACATGATATTAATAAAAAGGCTTCCGTATAGACTGTTTCCTTTTATTCTTATGTTAGTTGCAAAGTTAGCAAATATTGATGTGTAAATGTTAATTTAGCTGCATGTACATCTGGGTTAAATTAACGTTTAGTTAGGATTAATAATACAACCATGATAATAGATGTAGGTAGTTCGGAAGTGAACATTCGAGCGTACGTTGTGTTACGTAATGATCAAACAATTATTAGGTACACAAAAGATTACTATGCTTTTGTTTAGGTATATTGTAAATAAGCAATATTAATTTATATTGCGAATTAAACAAAGATAAACGATCATTATAGTGAAAAATATGCTACATTTATAATATTCAATTTTTGCTAAAGCCCAGAATTTGTTGGGCGTTAGACATATACAGGGTGGTCTTAAAATTGTCTCCCGATATTTTTAGGACTGATTTCAGACCATTTTTTTTTGGAAATTTAAAACTCGCAACCCCAAAAAAAAAAAGCAACGAACCAAGAACTTTTTTGGTAAGTTAAGAAGGAAAAAACAAAGTTGAACAAAAAATTTTGGTAAAACCTGGGCACCAATAAAAATTGACAAGGAAAAGTGTAGCAAAAATGAAATTAGTACTTGTCAAAAATAGAATTATGGAAAAATGAAAAAATAGGACTGATCAATAAGAATTATCTATAATTGTAGATATAGTGAAAACATACATTAATACAACAACAAGAAACCCTTCTAATTGTAAGTCGTAACTGACAAACTGCTAGATAATATTTCGAAAACAAAAATTAATCAGAGGGTATAATTGTATATATTCATATCTACCTATACATTATTTGATATTTAGTTAGTATTTATCTGTAAGTTGATGTAAATTAATAATATTGAACAACAAATGAATTTACTATACAATTTTTTAATATTAATTCAGTGATTTTGTCGATAACATGTTAATGAGGATGGTTTGAATGACACCTTTTCGAAAAATTGGAAAACGTTACAATAATTTTAATTTACTACATATATATTTATGGTTCATTCTATTATACCTTTCTATTTTAACTTTTACTTTATTGGGTTACAATTTATTTTTGTGTATGTCTTGTTACCAACTTGTTTTTATGGTGCCTATCGAAAACACTTGATTAAACAT